CCTCCCTTGAGTTGTGAGCCGCCCTGAGTCCCTTTCAGGGAAAAGGGCGGCATACAAATAAAGTAAAATGAAATGAATGAAATGAAATAATAAAAACCCACTTATACTTAAAGTGCAACCACTTTCTTTCACAGATATCTTTGCAGGAAGCCTTTTTATTTAAGCTTCTTCTCCTCAAGGTAAATTTATGTAAAATGCAGCTAGCAACTACATTATAAGCACTTCAAAGTGACAAACAAACCTCTGCCCAACGCCAGGAGTAGAAGCCAGATGCCAGCAGAACCACAAATAATAAAAAGCAGTAAGCATTGAAAAATAGGAAAGGGAGCTGAAAGTAGTCATCACAGATAAGTTCCTCGATGGGTGGTAGGAAAAAAAACAAGATTTGGTTGTACAAACAAAGTATCAATAATCCAAGCCTTCCCCATCTTCATTCCAATGTTCCACAGCAACGATGTTAGGAACAAAAATATTAAATAGAAGTCTGAGGCTACAACCATTTATGTAACATTTTTTCATGCAAGTTTTCATACTTCAGAAGTTGACAATGATGAAATGCAAATCTTTTTAGCTTCCCAAGTAAAGTATAACTAACACATTATAGTGTGATTTTTTTTAAAGAGTCCCTCCTAACACTGACTTTGTCATGAATATTGGTTTTCTCCTGAAAAGAAAAGAAAGCAGGGGGCATCTAGATGGTCAGTTCCTATCAGTATATTTAGAGGATTGTAAAAAGAGAGACAACATCCAAACATTCTTGAAAAAACATATGAAGGCAGAGAGACTACAAATAAAAGCCTTTGTACTTTCGCATAGATGTGGTCTGGAAGATTCTGTTTTTCTTAAAACCCAAGGCTATTGAAGATTGATCTTTTCAGTTTTTTTCTTTATAAACCTTTTACAAGTTGCTTTGAATTTTACAATGTAGGAAAAAAATTAAATGAAATAAAAATAAAATCATTCAAATAAAAGTTGGAAATTAAGTAGGGGATATGTTTTTGCTATTTCATCCTCATTCATCTGAGAAATGCCACATAATTCTAAATAGTGTTTGTGATTTATAAAAAATGTCCTGTATACATAGCAAAAAATTGTGATTTCATTTCCTGTTGTCCATAATCCCTGCCTTGGTGCCTTTAAGAGTCTCTCTCTCTCTCTCTCTCTTTCTTTCTCTCTCTCTGTTTCCTTAACTGCCAAATATACAAATCTGTTCAAGTTTCCAAAACTGAAGCAGGATGAAGATGAGACTTCAGATAAGGACACTGGAGACAGGAACTTTTGTTGATCGCCCACGCTGAGGAACAACGATACGGTCCTCTCCTTCCAAAGACTCCTGCAATTGACCTGGAGTGAGGAAAGGAGCATATTAAGGTCCACCTTCACAGGGGAGGGTCTTGTCTAAAGAGGACAAGATTCTGAAAGGAGAATGTCATATGTCAGTGCTCTCTTTCCTATTTTTCAGTGCTATTGTCTTCCCTTATTTCCTTCACATAGTTACATGTTGCCGTATACAGGTAGTCCTTGATTTACAACAATTTGGTCAACTGTTCAAACCTTACAAAGGCATTGAAAAAAGCCACTTATGACTGGTCCTCACAAACTGTCTGAGCATCCCTTGTGACATGATCAAAATCTGGGCAGTGGCATTTACAACCGTTGTAGAGTCCCAGGATGCCATACACTAAATAAAATAAATAAGGATCCCAGGATCATGTGATCAGTATTTGTTACCTTACCACCAACTTCTGATTAAAAAAAGGGGTTGGGAGTCAGATTCACTTAATGACTGTATGATTCAATTAACAACTGAAACGATCAACTTAACCATCACAAAAAAGTGATGAAAATTGGGTGTGATTCACTTAACCACCTTGCTTAGTGAAGAAAATTCTAGTTCCAGTTCTGGTCACAAGTCAAAAACTATCTGTACAGCAATTCTGAGCGCCCTGGCATTACTCTTGTTCTGGGGCTACTGCTTCAATAGTTGCAAGTGGAAGCATTTGAGCTAAGTTGTTTTCTTCCCTCTTTCAGAATTTTTAAGAAAAAGAAAAAGAATGGAAACAAAGAAATATACAAAAAAGAGAAAGAAGGGAAAAAAGTAAAAAGGACAAAGTAGATAAAATAGGGAACTAGGCATGAAGACAGTGCAAAAAAGAAGAGAAAATATATTCATGTGATTATAGATTTTGAGGAAAGCTTGGTCTGGAGCATCTGTGAAATGTCCAAGGTTAAGAATGCTTCCAGGGCATAGTATTCAATACCAGCGACTCTCTCCTGAGGAACCCACATTGAAAATGTTCTCAAACATACAACATTTCAGGATAGTTGATTCATTTTTGCACTTCTAGCACTGCCTCCTTTATGTGTGATATACAATAAAACCGAAGGGTATACACCTGTGTCACAAAAGCACGTGCTTTTGTAACACAGCACTGAATTTAGACACAGCCTGAATTCTTGAGGCATTAATTCCAACTCTGGAGATGGTAGAGGAAAAATGTTTTACCTTGTGCATACAGCTCTGTCCGTTTACGATCTGCCTGAATGAAACAAGCAGTAGCTAGGAAGAAACCACCACCGATAACACCTACAAAGCTGCAGACCATAAGTGCATATTCCAGGCTTCGAAACTGTGATAGCAATGAAACTGGGCGATCACTCTGGATTCGGTCACTAATCTATGAAAAAATATTAATAATAATGCAATTGATTAGGTAATTTCCCTAAGGAAAGTCTTCAGGAGATAAATATTGTTATTTATTTCTTCTCTTGCTATTTCATCCCACTTGAAATAAATAGCAAAACAGGCCCACACCATAGTTTATTTTTCCTTTGCATGGAAAATATGAAAATAAGAATTTCATTTCATGAAATTCAGCTACTCCATATCTGAAGTCTGAACAATAGCAGCCTACTGACACAAAATGCAAAAGAAGTAAACATGGTTTTAGAACAGCAGTTCCACACAAGTTTTCAATTAAATCTCACATTTTGAAGAAAAGAAACATTGTTAGATATCTCTATACAAAAATGGGTATGGAATCTACACTGTCTCAAGAACAAAACCATTGGTTTAAAGACACATATGAATGTGACGTTCTTTAATCTTATGTATTAATTACAATCCTCAAACCTAGCATCTGCAGTGGCCTTACAGTCCTAGGGACGTTATAATGCAAAGCTGTGCTGGAATGCTTACTTTTAATTTGAAAAGGAATTACAAGGAGAACCTGGAATTCAGGTAGCTGCAAGAGGTTTTGTGAACTGTTTTGATTTGGTAAGGACTGCACTAATTGGGAGAAAGAATGGGGGGGGGAGAGAGAAGCTGCTTAGGAGGTGGAACAGACGACAGGAATATCAGTTCTACATCTCCAGCCTAAGCCTTATATCCAAATGCTTACCAAACCAATAAGATAAGGGCTTCCTGCATCCCCCAGAAGATGGGACAACAGAATCTGAAAAGCTTCAGCTGTAGAACGCCGAGTTGGGATGACAACATACTGCAAAGAGAAAAGGGGATATTTTATTTGATACGCTTTGTCAAGAAATATCAAGTGACTGCAGAATAAAGCTATAATTGTTCATCTTTTTTTTCCTTTTTATTGTTTTAAGCTACCTAAATAACCCCATACTGAGATGGGTAGCAAATAAATTTAATAAACAAACAAATGAATAAAGGAGGGGCAGGGAGTTTGATTCTACAGGCTTGGGGCCACTAGCTACTCGACTCTTTGTCAGAAGGAGGGAAAGCCAAGAAAGGTGGAGATAGGATTGGTGTTGCTGCCATTAAGGTATGAGGCAATTAAACAAACACAATGATGAACCTTTCTGCAACATTATCTAGGGAGAAGGGAACAAAATATCAGAGATTGGTCACATGAACTATCAGAGGTCCTGTAGGATAGAACAGTTACTAGTGATATAATTCTACTGCTGATTGTTTCTCTATTTCTACTTAAAAGGCCTGCACTCGTGCTATTAATTTCCAACTCTCAGACCCTGTTTGTTGAGCAAATGTATGTGTTGTCCCTTCCCCATTATCTTACCAGAAGCATGTCTGCCACTATGGCCCAGTTGAGGGAAAGGAGGATTTCACCAATAAAAATAAATACCTACAAGGAAGAATGAAGAAGAATCATTTTGTTGTATTTTTAAAAGATATTTTTCATGAAGTGCCATACACAGAAATGCCCTTTCTTGTGCCCCCAACTATTATATTAAGGTCGAGAAACTTAAGAAACTCACATAAGTGGCAACAATGCTCTGTTGAGCAAAGACGACAGCCAGGAACAGGAAGGGGGCAGAGCCAAGCAGTCCAATAGCGCACACCAGGGGATCAGCACGGGGATTGATGCGATGCCAGCGTCTTGAAATCTCCACTCCAGCAGTAACGCCCAGGACACCAGTCACACAAGTGATAATGCCAAAGATGAGGCTGCGGAGATAATTACATATGGGCTGGTGAGGCTCTTCAGAAATGGTTCAAAATGGTTAAATAACCAGCATGTTGGAATCTTTTCAAAAGCCATATAAAGGATTTAAAGAACTCAGAAATGAGTTGTCAAGATATTCTTCAAAAGAGACCAAGAAAATTAACTAAACTAGAAATCAAGACACAAGACAGTTCTCATTGTTAACTCACCTGTCAGAGTCTTCATGACAAACCTTACCACTAGGGCAAGGTGGGAGATTTCCGGTGGCCAACCGTGAGCGGTACAGAAATGCAGGTGCCCACAATGCTAGGGATCCTGTTACAAATGCCACAGCTGTGAATCCTAATGATGATAACACGAAGCTACGGCTGGCCAATCAGGGGACAGAAAGAAAGAAAGAAATAATGTCAGCATGTACTATAGCCTTCTGGATTCCCAGAACCAAACGATAACAGATCTGAACTGTCAGATCCGTCATCTCAACAGAATACTTCTATGTGTTTATAAGTAATGATTTACAACTGAGTCACAAATTGTCCAAGAAATGACTATAGATGACACAGCCTTGTTAGAAGTCATATATGGCAGCTTTCTGATGGTATATATCTTAGGTCAGTGTTTCCCAAACTTGTCCCTTCATTACCCGATACTACTTAGAAAGCCTTATTGAAATTCAAGGACCAGTTTTAAGTTCCTTCAGCACCACTGAAATTTGAAATGGTTGCTGAATGAATAGTTGAGAACTATCTATTGTAAAATCAATAGAAGAGAACATATGTAGCTCGGGATTGGATTGTGTAGCGCTTGGTTGTTTGCTTGCAGACATTTCATTACCCAATTAAGTAACATCATCAGTTAACCAGGACTCCAGGCAAACAGTATCATTGAATAATCTTTATGTCACTTCAACAAAGTATCACTGGTAATTCAATCAATTTTCATCTCAATAAGAATACTTTGGGAGATTTTCAAATATATTTTAATAAAAATTGCAATTTTAAGTGAATTTAAATATCCCTGTTGTGATGGGTAATTGGTTCATTTATCCTTACCTAAATAAAAATTGCTTTTACTCAATTTTGGGTAAGATTTGGGAAGCACTATCTTAGGCCATGAGTAATCAACTTGCTATGTGAATAGCACAAGGCTGATAAGCATTATCTAACTGCAGATATATTGTAAGCTAACATTTCTGACCCTGGCATCCCTGTCTCCCTCTCTCTTGCAGTGTTACCTATACAAATTCATTAGATTAGAGACAAACAAATCCTAACCCCATCAAAGTGTTGAATTAGATTATTTAAAAGAACACTAGGAACCCCCGTAATGCTTCCTATTCTACCAGAATTTTTTAGTCATCGTTTATTGAATAAATCTCGTTGAATTCAAGTATTTATTAAGCAAATCCTACATTGTGGCTTAATATAATGTGCAAACTCCATGAATTAAATGTATATAACAGGCTAAGCCAAAATATGGCTTGTTTTAGGGACCTGTCTATTGTGGTTTATTCACCTATCATAGTTAAACAAAAAGAGTTTAGCAGAAGTATTAACACAGCTCATTTTTTTAGAAAACCACCCTGCTGATGATATTTAACCCAAGGTTTTAAATTATAAATCAAGAGCTAAGGCAAGACCAGTTTCCATATTGACTTGCTGTCCTAGTTTCATTGCAGAGGAAACTCAGTCGATGTCACACCCAACATCTCTTACAACTTATTTGCCAACCGTGTCTGTCAAGATTGGTGTTAACAAAATTACAAATCTGCTAAAAAGCTCTTTACCTTCATACTAATAAAACATCAAAAATAGTATCCACACACTAGTCTCCTATAGTAATCATCACTTCCCCGCTATTATTCTATCTCATATACATACATTTTTAATGTATAACTCAAGTTGATGAACATAACTTTACTCCTTCCCATTTACTCCAAAACAACCCTGTAAGATGAGCTGATCTGAGTGACTGGGCCAAATTCACCTAGCAGGCTTTCATGGATAAGGGAGACCTTAAACTAGCAGTATCCCAGTTTCTAAGCCAGTACCTTAACCACTACACCAAAGTAGTTAGCACTTCCCTAGTAATTATAAAAAAATATCTAATACTCTGCAATCTACACACAAATGTCTAGTTCCTTGGCCAGATATTTTCTATAAATCTCCTACCAAGACTACCAGATTACTACCATAATAATCTGTTGTTCTCTGTCAGCCTGTAAATTTCATACTGAGCTTCTTTTCTTTAAAATAATACAAACCAAGTGGTTTCTCAGAGAAATGTCAGTGATCCAGCCCTCGACACTAGCCCTTTTACGTGGAGGGACAAAATTTCATGTCACTTCTGCTTATCCTACAAGTTATGAAAAGCTTGTTTTAACTCTCATTTATGAGTATTTTCGCTTGAACCATTAAAACAAAGGCTAGAAGGTAATTCAGGGGGGAAAACAGAGAAGCAAGATCTCTTTCTGTCACATAACTCACTTGTGGCTCAGGGCTCTCAAATCAGCTGTCCATGAAGTGTAATGAAGAGGGGCATCAGTGCGCGTCTCTACAGCTCCTCGGGGTGGTTCACGCACCACAGTTATCAATAATAGCAAAGCTAATGCTCCCAAACCTGGAGTCACCTGAGGGGGACATAAGAAAAAAAATCCAATGTGAAACACTCTGAAAAACAGAAAAATATATGTGAATGACTGGAGAACAGGCTGCTGTCTAACTTTGGGTAAAAAGAAGTTTCAGAATTAGATTTAAAAAGATTTTTAACAAAACAATAAACATTAACTAAAGTAGTTATAAATTATACTTACCCGCAAAGCCCAATGCCAATCATCAGCCACATCTTTCACCTTCGACCCCACAATATAACCCAGTCCACTGTAAAAGAAAATCAGGAAAGCATTCAAATCTATACTCTGACAGTATAGATTCTATACTCTTTCACCAAAGCCAGTTAACACTTTTATCAGCTTAAGTCTTTTAGGATATGGATATGCAAGTTGTATAATGTAATGTTAGTTCTTGATTTTCAACAAAGATCTCTGGTTAAAAATCCATCTTTTTATTCTCCCTCCAAATATAGAGCACAGGATGTTCCCACCTGCCTACAGGTATAGCAAAGTAGAAGATGCTAAGCATGCGGGATCTCCGGTCACCCAAATACAGGTCAGCAATAATGGTGGGGGCAATAGTTGAATAGCTAGCCTCTCCCACACCCACTAGGCCTCGTGTAAGTAGCAACATCCAGAAGAACTGAAGAGGAGATAAAAAACAGTGTATGAAAAATATAGAAGCAGACATAAGCTTTAAATCTAGAACACCCTCAATAGGAACCTTGAAACTTCTGGCTGTGAGCTATGAGTTAAATATTTTAACTCAGTTCAGATTTTATTTACTTATTTATTTATTGCTTACTTAAAACAAAGGTGCTTTCAGCAATAAAACAGGAAACCTTAGAAAGATTTATTTCTAATTTTGGATAGTTTATTTGAGGTTTGATTAAAAGAGAGCAAAAAATTTAACTACTTGAAAACAGCACTAGCCAGAGGGTTAATTCCCCCCTTCATTGCCTGCTATAAAACTTTGTGCAATTGAAGGTATGAAATTCCTCATCACTAAGCCTATTAGAAAGATTTCATAACTTGAAAACGCAGAATTTCAAGAATTTTTGGAGAATGCTATATATATTCAATTTTCCCATCCCCATAATTTTAATTTACCACAAGTCCCCTCTTCCACACCTGATAAATACCTGCTTGGGGATGAAACTGCTCCCTAGAGTCACAATAGACCAGAAGAAGATTCCTATACACATCAGGTATTTGCGATTGTAACGATCACCCAGGTAACCAAAAATAGGTGCCAGTACCATGTAGCTGCTAATAAAAACTGTTAGGAAAGGGAAAAAGAGTTTTATGTTCCACCTCTGTTCCATATGAACTGTGTAAATGGCTACAGAGGGGATAGAAAAGACAAGCAAGGCCTATTGCATCAGCCCTCACCTGTCTGTAGCAGTCCTGATTTGCTGTCATCAATATCAAAAAACTTCTCAATGTCAGGAAGAACACCTGAAACAAGGCAAAAAAATTACAGAACTTCAGATGAGGAGACAAATATAGTACTTTTCATTAATTTCATCCATAATGATCTAACACAGTTGTGTCAAAGTCACATTGTCATGGTGACAACACATGAGCTATCACAATTTTTTTTTCCTTTCACTAAACTAGGCATAGCCAGTGCATGACGCATCTGGACCGTGGACCAAAGCCAGGAACAAATGGGGAGAATCTATTTACCTTTGCTTTAAAAGTTACACACTTTCACCTATTTCATCAGTTCAAAAAAGAAACTGGAAAAATTTCAGCTACCATTCTATTATGCTTACCAGCCACAGTGAAGCGATCCATGTAATTCAGTAGATTAATAAAAAAGAGTACACCCACAATAAGGCCAGCATGTTGAGAGGATATCCCTGTCAGGGCCCGTACTTCTTCTTCCCCTATATGTTCCGGCTGAGGTTCATCTTTTCCTTCACCTTCAGTATCATCTGCCTGGGTCAAAATTGGAGCTGTATCAGAATAAGATTGCTGCTGCGATCCCATGGCTAGGAATAAGAAAGATCCACTGTAAGAAAAAAATGTACAATTACAGAAGAAATGGACTTTAGAAATGCAGGATCTACTTTAAAAAACAGATGGTCTACCAAAACTGTAGAATTACAGGAGAACAAGATTAGAATGGGGAGCCCACAAGGCCTATCAATTTTTGTAAGCCACCTAGAATCATTAAATGTGAGTGGGATGCCCTACAAATTTTCTTCAATCAATCAATCCATCAAGCATGGTGGAAAAACAAATTCTATCAAAAGCACTGAACCCAGACAAGGAAACTACTTCAACTCAAGAGTTATCCTAAACTTCCTTCATTTGGTGTCCTATTATGATTTGTTTTAGTATCCTATGACTGATGTTCGTCCATCGTGTTCGAAGAGGACCTTGACATCTATCAGGCTGTCCACGATGTTCCTGCAGATGGCTAGTAAGGCCTACATGGGCATGAAATCTTCCATCACATGTCAGGCAGACATGTGTGAGCACTATCCTATGATTATCATTGAGTTGTATCCCATGATTTATGAGGATTGTATCTACAAATTTTTATCAGTCAATTAACTGAAGCATGGTGGAAAAACAAATGTTACTATTTAAAGGCAGATCAATTTAGAACCCAAATGAGGAAGGTAGTTTAACTCAGTTATTCTAAACGTCCTTCATTTGGTGTCCTATTATGATTTTTGTTGATTGCCTTACACTTGCATGACTATCACTGTGCTGTACCTTTAATTAATGATGATTTGTATTGTATGATTATGACTTGTTGCTTGTACATACACTGAGAGCTTATGAGCCAGAGGCAAATTCTTTGTGTGTGTCCAATCACACTTGGCCAATCAAGAATTATATTCAACAGAGGGGAAAGTGGCAAATTCCTTTGGCAGATGCCTTCATTTCGCAACCGAGCCAGGAATCTTTACCAACTCTACCTCAAATTCCTGGTATCTCCCAGCCGATTTTTTTCTACCCACGTCTGCTTCTAAGAAAGCGGGGGAGGGGGAGGGGAGAAAAGTTCTCAATAGGAGAGCCTGATCCACAGGGTTGTTGTTAGAAATGACCCACACAACTACATTCCCCACCTCTCCTTAGAAAAAAACAGACTCTCGGGCCTCTTCCGAAAGAACGGAGGCAAACACGGGTGGAAAGAGACAGTAATGGGCAGGCTGATTCTTTCAAAATACGAACTATATCCAATCATCATTGTGGGAGGCTTAACTGCCTCCGACTAAACCCTAAATGCTGGTTTCATCCTGCAGGTATAATTCAGCCAGAGGCCCCCCCAGGATCAGTGACTCCTCGCCTAGAATGATCCATCAAAATGAACTGGGGGAGGAACTCTTTAAAGAGCGCGTGCTAAGCTCCCCTCCATCTCCAAATTCAATGTAATATTCCCCTTTCCACAAACTTACCCGGCCTTTCTCCCCTCGGTTTGAACTGCCGGATCAAATCACGTGAGTGTGTTTTTTTTTTTTTAAAGAAAGGCAGTTCTTTGAGAGGAAAAAAAAGGGACCACGACCTTCCTTATCATATGACTTTTTTTCCCCCGCCTTTTCCGCCCCCGCCTCGCGCGCTGCGACTCGGAGCTCTTCAGAGAGGCGGAGCCCTCGGCGGCCGAGGGCGGGGGCGATTTGCCTCGGCGACAACCAATAGAATGGGCCCTTTCATTGGCAGAAGCAAAGGAAAATGTCAGTTTCTGTTGCTCTCGTTACCAGTCCTGGCACAGGCTCCTCCTACTTCTCCCCTCGAGCAACGGGGCTCGTGTCTTTGTTGGTTGTTATGGTTACGGAGTATTGCTTTTTGCCCAGCTCTGTTTCCTTACATCGCACTGTCTCTATGACATTCAGTGTGTCCTAATTTACAAAATATCACATTTTACTTTATTACTACCAGTTTTGCCCTGGCTTTCTTCGTTATCGCACCTCTCTTAAGTTACAGAGCCATCTCAATCATCTTAAATGATGTTAAATCATCTTAAATGTTTGGCAAGTCCCATTTTTTTAAAAAAGGTGGATGATGATGATGGTGATATTGATGCAGGTGGGAGTGAGAGAACAAATTGTTTAGTATAACTTGAGGCTTACAATTTACAATTATTGTAAACCTTCTGTTGGACTAATAAAGATACAATCTTAGAGCATCAATTTTAGTTAATTTGGCAATAGGAGCATGCCCTATGTAGTGCCCTAAAGCATCCAGTTAACCATTTCCAGCTGTTGGTTAAATAAAATTAAACAATTGTGGTACTAGTAATATTAATTCATACAAAAACATGTTCGTAGGTTATGTGATATAAGTTTATAGCCCTATGCATATTTACTCAAGTTATGAGCACAGAATTAAGCTTGCTTTCATAGATAATTATTAATAAGTTTTCATAATTATTTTTGTGAATATTCCCCTTCAAAACCAATTTTACTTATTTCATACTTGCAGCCTAAAAACACATTCTAAATAGTCCCAAGCATGCTTTTTCAAGAGGCAACTAGACTTTCTGGTTTTTCTTTGAAGATGTTTCACTTCACATCCAAGAAGCTTCTTCAGCTCTAGGAAGCTAAATGTTTTCAGAGAAAAATCAGAAAGTCCAGTTGCCTCTTGAAAAAGCACCTTTGGGACAACCATGACTCACAATCTTCATTAGACACATGCTAAATTATATACAGTACTTTGCTGTACTGGACAATTGCTTAATAACAAAAGCAAACCAAACATTACGTTGTGGTTTAAAACATGTTCGTATATAATACTATAAAATAATGGTAGGGCTCATACAATTCAGTTACTCATGCTTAATTATGATGTTTCTACTCAAGCAATTTTGTCTGCATTTATAATACAATAGCAGAATTGGAACTGACCTTGGAGGTCTTCTAATCCAACCCCCTACCTAGGCAGGAAACCCTATACTGTTTCAGACAAATGGCTATCCAACATCTTCTTAAAGACTTCCAGTGTTGGGGCATTCACAGCTTCTGGAGGCAAGCTGTTCCACTGGTTAATTGTTCTAACTGTCAAGAAGTTTCTCCTCAGTTCTAAGTTGCTTCTCTCCTTGATTAGTTTCCACCCATTGCTTCTTATTCTACCCTCAGGTGCCTTGGAGAATAGTTTGACTCCCACTTCTTTGTGGCAACCCTTGAGATATTGCAACACTGCTATCATGTCTCCCCTAGTGCTTCTTTTCATTAAACTAGACCAGGGGTAGTCAACCTTTTTATACCTACCGCCCACTTTTGTATCTCTGTTAGTAGTAAAATTTTCTAACCGCCCACCGGTTCCACAGTAATGGTGATTTATAAAGTAGGAGGTAACTTTACTTTATAAAATTTATAAAGCAGAGTTACAGCAAACTTCTACCGCCCACCGTGAAAGCTGGAACGCCCACTATTGGGCGGTAGGGACCAGGTTGACTACCATTGTACTAGACATACCCAGTTCCTGCAACTTTGCATGACCCAAGTATAAATTAGCCAACCTACATTTGCAGAAAATATTAAACATGGTAAATAATATGATTTATTTTTTTATTTTATTTGGTTTGTTAAGCATGTATGAGAAAACAAGTATAAGTATCAATATAACAAATAAACATAAGTATAAGCTGATATAAGAATATACATAAGAAATGAGTACAAATAAATGGAAACAGTATGATAGGGACTGTAGGCACACTGGTGGGCTTATGCACGCCCCCTTACAGACCTCTTAGGAATGGTTGAGGTCCTCGGTAGGCAGTTTAAGGTTAAAGTTTGGGGGGTTTGAGGATGTAACAACAGTGTTGAGTAATGCATTCCAGGCATTAACCACTCTTGCTGAAGCTGTATTTTCTACAATCAACTTTGGAGCGGTTTACTTTGAGTTTGTATCTATTGTTTGCCCGTGTATTATTGAGGTTGAAGCTGAAGTAGTCATTGACAGGCTTGGCTTTGGCATGGCCACAATGATTTTTAATCATGGCTTATGCCTTATAGTTTGGCTGGTTTTGTGAACACATCTCAAGCATAATGCAGCTATCATCACGGTATTAGCTAGGTTGGAGATGATGGCCACACATTGTCCAAAACCCCATTCCTGCAGTGTTATTACAGATTTATTGTGAATTGTCTGTATTGCAGTACCTGCTGTCTCTTCCAGCAAAGCAATTTTATTTTTTCGTTTTTGAAAGGCAGCTTCTTAAGAGTTGTATTGCTCAAATTGAAAATCTGCAAAATGGGTATGGGTAGTCTTTGACTTAACAATTGCTGATTCAATGACTGCATCAGAACAGATAGTTTAAGGGCCATAAATCACTTTCTGCCAATATAAAGTGTGCCAACTCTACTCCCACACACACCCTATGACATAATTAACCTACCAATTAAGCTGCTGGAGTCACAGAACTATTTAAAAGCCCATATGCATTGGGAAGTTCTCTAATGTATTTTACATAATGCTGTTAGATGTACAAGTTACATTAAAAAAACCTTTCAATTGTTAAAAAGTGGAAATAGGCAAGATAAAACTATGTGTTCCATAGAATTGTGCCTCTATTTATCATCTATCCATCCATCCATTAAAATCTTCATTCCAGTAATCTTCGTCTTAGGGCCAGTACTCTTCAATATTTTCATAAATAAGGGAATAGAAGGGGAGCTTACCAAATTTGCATTTGATACTAAGCTGGCAGAAATAGCTAACACTCTAGAACAGGGGTCCCCAAACTTGGCAACTTTAAGACTTCAATTCCCAGCAGAGCTGGCTGGAAAATTCTGGGAATTGAAGTCCACAAGTCTTAAAGTTGCCAAATTTGAAAAGCTCTGCCCTAGAACATAGGTTCAAGATCCGGATGGATTTTCACAGACTTGAACACTGGATCCTATCTAACAAAATGAAATTCAATGTAGAGAAAAATAAAGTTTTACACTTGGGCAAGAAAAACCAAAAATACACATATCGACTGGATGAAACCAGGTTTAATAGCAGTAACCGTGAGAGGGACCTTGGAGTCTTAGTGGACAACCAGTTAAATATGAGCCAGCAGTGTGAAGTGGCAGCCAACAAAGCCAACATAATCATAAACTGCATTAACTGAGGGCTATAATCAAGATCAAGTGAGCTACTAATACCACTCTATAAAGCTTTAGCAAGACCACATATACAATACTACATCCAGTTTTGGTCACCACACTATAAAAAAGATGTTGAGACTCCAGAAAAAATGCAAAGAAGAGCAATCAGAATGATTAGGGGACTGGAGACTAAAACATATGAAGAATGGTTACAAGAACAGGGCATTTTCTAAGGCACCTGAAGGCCAGAAAAGGAATAATGGATGGAAACTGATCAAGGAAAGATTCAATTTAGAAATAAGGATAAATTTTCTGACAGTGAGAACAATCAACCTGCTTGCCTTCAGAAGTTATGAGAGCTTTATCACTGGAGGCTTTCAAGAAGAGATTGGACTGTCATTTGACAGAAATGGTGTTGGGTCTCCTGCTTGGGCAGGAGGTTGGACTAGATGACCTACAATATCCCTTCCAACTCTGTTAATCTGTAATCTGTAAACCTTTCAATAGGCGAAACAATGCACGATAGGGCAACGATTTTTGAACCAAGATACCTCAAATGAGCTAATTTACAATATGCATCCAAAATCCAGGACCTATAACTCCAGGGAGTTGAAATTTAGCAATTACAGTGGTACTTCATTATGATTCTGGGAGATGTGATGAGTACCAAAAACTATGCGCACTAAATTTTTCCCATAAGAAATAATGTAATGAGTCACATGGTAACTATCACCACCAAGTTCTAATTGAGTACCAAAACAACTTAGAAGTACCAGGACAAAACGTTCACATCAAAATGTGTTAAATACCAAATTTGATGAGTTACAAAGCAGTTGAGTATCAAGGTACCACAGTATTATAAAACATTTTATATCATAAAAATGATCACAAAGCAGTTTGCGATATTACAAAATATCATGAACTATTTCCTGTGTTAATGTTTGGCCGTACTATTCAGTTCAATGTAGGCTACTTTCAAGGTAAATGCCTCTCTAAACATCTCACTGAATTTTTAAGCACTTTTCAAGTATATTACTCTACCATTGTTGAAGGATTGAAGGTAAGGAAATATCTCTGAAATGACTCTTCAACCACATTTTCTAGTCCACTCTAGCCTTTTACTGCCACTCAACCTAAAATGCAAAGATCAAGTCTTCTGTCAACAGTTCACTTGAGGGGCATGGTTTGTGCTAATTAGGAAATACAATGTATTTATTCTGTTCCTATGTTATCTGTAGATATGTTTATCGACTTAATTATTCAAAGAAGATTCTTTAGGGATCAATGTCTATTTTCACTGGTAAATCTGTAATCTTGTTTTTATCCAAATGTAGATCCTGTGAGCTCAACAATAAAAATACTGGCATAAATAAATTTCCATTTCAACTTATTGTATGGAGACTGTTGTATCTAACTAGAATTTGCTTGAAGGCAGACAAAATATATCTCCATCACCTATGTTGCTCCTTATTATTTCTTCCAGGATATTGTATAATTTCAATTTCCCAAGAGAAAGGAATCCAGCACAGATTAAAGATAAAAGGAGATTCCTACAGAATTCCTTTGTGTGTTTGGGTTCTTAGTGTATTGACTGTGGTTTACAGAAGTTCTGTAAATTATGATTAAAAAGTAAAAAAAATGCTAAGTAAATAAAATAACATTGTAGGTGTGAATATCCGAAAGAAAGAAAAAGTAGCAAAGGCTTTTTGGCTTGGATTACATACAATTTTGGAATGTTATTTTTCAACATCAGTGTTATTAGAAGCTGTTCATAAATTAAAACATTGTGTTTTCTACAAGCATTGTATGATTTACCCTTCTTTTATAATGTCAGCTGTTTTATTGAAGAGCAAACGTGCAGTTTTGAGCATAAGCAGATTTTCTTCCAAGTTGATATTCTCCCCATGCCTCATTGGAGGTCAGCATCTGATCAGCACTATTGACAAGCTAAGGATGGTCAGCTGTTTAGCACTTCTACGGGAATCTACTAGAAAGTATCAGGATTCACTGACTAAACTGGAAAAAAGTCAATATAATGGTAACACTTTAATAGAAAAACACAAGTATATACCCTTGAAGTTACTGGGATTTCAGCTGTACAGAATGAGACGATATATTTTTCAGTTGTATTGGACTCCAAATCACCATGCTTGGGGATTATGAGAAATTCAAAGTAAAAGCACCTAAATGGAATACACATCTGTTTATCCAAGACAGCAGTGCTAAGATCTTTTCTAATTGATGTGATTATATTTAGGAAATCTGGTTATTAATAACATGGAAAGTTAAGAAAATGTAATATTGGGATTGCATTGCTTTGTTTTTCATATTATAATTGGTTAAACAGCCAGCAAACAGCTAAACAAGACTGGATTTGGCATTTTTGTCCACCTACATAGTCCTTCTCAAGGATAGGCAGATGTTGTGCAATATTAAAATATTGTCACAGGATGTAAGCTATTCCAAGTAAAGCTGCTTTTTCCAATTGACTGATTTTGTTAATGCCAATAGTATTCAAGTGTTTCTGGTTTCGGAACCAGAATTACAACCGAGCTGTGGCGGCGCAGTGGTTAGTACACAGTACTGAAGGCTACTTCTGCTGACTCTGCTGCCAGCAGTTCAATCCTGACTGGCTCAAGGTTGACTCATCCTTCCAAGGTCAATAAAATGAGGACCCAGATTGTTGGGGGCAATATGCTGACTCTGTAAACTGCTTAGAGGGGACTGTAAAGCACTGTGAAATGGTATGTTTTATTGCTATTTCTATTGGTCGTATCTTTGCTTACTTATATCATTCTATTTATACTTACAGGAATTTATATTTTGGGATATGCTCCAGTTCTGTTCTGCAGTCTTTGTATTATTATGGTTGGTTGAAGTCAGCTAGATATTTAGACTGTGTTTGGCATTTTTATCCACTTATCAAATCCCTCCCAAGAACCTGGGATAGGCAACTATTGATGTTATGGTGTTATTAATATTTATTGACATAGAATTATCAAGAACATAGTATTTTCTTAATATCTCTCATTATTCCTCTACAAAGTTTGTCTGCAAGCAACATGACCAATAACAAAATTAAATTTTATTACATATTCCAAATTTTGAGTACAGGACATAAAATAATAAAGTAAAAGGGGTCCTGTGTTTTATTTTCTCCACAAATTAAACTGCCATTTCCCACTGCGATATCAGACAAATTAAATCAAAGAAAGCAATGAGTCACTTAGTGTGTGTAAATATCAAAATATCATACTGTGGGTAAATGGTAAATATCACACTGAATTCAGGTGAGTCACTTAGAGTGAGTAAATAAAAAATAATAATAAAAATAATAATAAAGTCCAGACATGGATTCTTTGGAAAGGCAAGGATGCTAGTTCCACACTTCGATAACATCACCAGATTCCATCCCCAATTGTTCAGGGGTCTGAGTTTCTGTCAAACGTTGCCCATCAAAATAGAAGACAAGTCTGCCTTTGCCTTGACCTTGACCTTGTTTGTAGTTGTTCATAAGGGTTTCCAAGGGCTCCCCCTGCAAAAAGAAGAACGTAATTACAATACTGTAATGCTTTCTCACAGAAGAAATCCTACAATTCACACTTTAGTTCCTTTACCTTATGGACTGTAATATCCATCACAGAACTTCTGTCTTTTCCTTGTACTCGAAGCAACAGGTTTCCAGATTCATTAGCCTGCTTATTGCTCTCCACTATACAATCTGGAAGTTGTCCAACAGAGAATGTTAATCCTACTTTTTCTCTGCTAAGTTCAAAACAGAAAAATAATGATTTACCCCAATATTATCCTCATCAACTGCCCCATAAAGGTAGAGCTGGGCCACAATAATTAGGAGTATGTGGCTGAAGGAGGATTAGAATTTAGTATCTCCCAAACTTTACAGTAGTTCTAATTTTGAAAAAAACAAGCAAGCAGCTTTAGACAATACAGTAGGGAGAACACAAGAAAATAGGTGTAAAATACTGGACAGTACAGAAGTTTAATTCATTTGGGAGGCAAAAGGTTTGAGGAATTTAAAACAGTCAATAAAAGTGGAAGCAATGATGATCTGAAGTTTAAAAAAAACCCATAGTGCCCAAGCTATTACCGATGATGGAAGCAACACCAAGGTCCAACTTAGCAGGAGTAGCATCAGCCGAAAGTTCACTATCATGATGCAGAAGGATGATTCTGTTTGGATGAACCTTCAATATCTGTGCCATGTGGTCAACCACTCTTCGAAGAGGCTCTGTCTACAGAAGGTGAAGTTAAGTAGCTGTGTTAGAGGACAAAGTAAATGGATTCTCTCTATCCTAAACCATGGCTAAGACTGATATTACAGCATTGGGACAATAAATATATGGCACCACTCAGTGGATCAAAGATCTGATAATACTAGCCCTTTATAAACATACTTGCATATTTGCATTAGATACATAGAATTGAAACTGTTTACTATTGTAATGTTATACTTTATTTCCTTTTTTCAGTTGTTTTTAAAGCACTTGTTATGCACTTTTTGTTTGATAATGTATTTCTATCACCATTATCTTTGTTTTGTTCCTTTTGCCTTTTTGTTGATTTAAAAACAATAATAAAAGTAGCTGTAAGAGAGTAAGAATAGGATATAATAGGATACTGAGAAAGATGTCAGATCCCCCTCAGTGACAGTACTTCCCAATTCAAAAATTGTTGCCCATTGTTTTGCCTAGATGAAGGTTACGGATATGAGAAATTTAGAGTATGTAGATGGATTTATAAAAAGCAAATAGAAAATTGTGGCAGAGTTTGGGAAACTTTTTAAGGTAAGGTACTTGTCAATTTTATTCCACTGAAGTTAGGCCCTCAATTTTTGGCAAACAAAAAAAAAACTTCAAGGGGCTATAAAAAGATTTCAGGAATTGCAAGTTGCCACTCCTGGTTTAATGTGCCATGTGGATTCTGAAATGGCATTCTGAGGCAGGTATGTTTTGCACCAATGCTATTTTGAACTCTAAGCCTACATTCCATTTTAAATATATAATTTTTGTTACATTGTTACAGGATGTAAATTAATAGTGTGGTTGTTGGAATTCACATATAATGGATTTATGCAGAATTATATATGAAGATCCATCCATTTGTTGGGAAATTTCTAATAGTTAAAAATAAGTTTCCAAAGCCCAAGATGGCTGCTTCTGCATTGAAACTCAATTAAAAAAAAACAGTCTCTATTGCAGATGTTAGGACTGAGTCCTAGACAAGCACAAGGAAAAGAAAAAGAGAAAAGCCCAGATTATGACAGCAAAGGGAAGTGAATAGGGATAAGTTATCAAATACCAAAGCCTCTCACCATTAGAATACAGACTTTGTGGAGATCAGCTCGGCATCGGACTTTCAGCAAAAGCTCCTGGGGTTCAAACGCATCAACCAGAATTACATCATCCTCATCAAATCTTTGATCCTGCAAGCTCTTCTTAGCAGCTGAGAGAGAGTTGTTCAAATTTCTGAGACTCTGATCAAACGGTCTGCTGAGAAAGCAAAGACAAACTTAAGTGAGAAATCCATATGCTGGGTTCTGCCCTGGGATGCCATTATTTAGAGGTATGTTGCATTCAGTTTGAAGCAGGCAAGGATACTTGGGATCTATCACGGAAACCCTTTTTGTATCTGATAGCACCTTAAGGAAGAAGCACTTCATGTTGACATGATCATAACAGATTCAAGAAAATACAGGTTGTACTTGACTTACAAACAGTTCATTTAGTGACTGCTTAAAGTTACAACAGCACTGAAAAAAGTGACTTGTGACTCTTTTTCAATTACAACTTTTTGCAGCATCGCCATGGTCATGTGATCAAAATTCAGATGCTTTGCAACTGACTCATATTCATGTGATCCCCTTTTGCGACCTTCTGATAAGCAAAGTCAATGGGTAAGCCATTTCCTTTTAACAACCGTGTTAATAACTTAACTGCAGTGATTCACTTAACAACTGTGGCAAGAAAGGTTGAAATCCACTTAACAAATGTTTCACTTAGCAACAGAAATTTTGGGCTCAACTGTGGTTGTAAGTTGAAGGCGACTTGAATGCAATGGAGTTAGTAATTTCATCCTTCATTAGGTGTTAGGAAGGTGCTGCCACCTTCATAAGGCCTTCTGAAATTAAGAATTATCTGCACAGATACTGTGTAAGCTCCCAAAATTTCATAAAATTCTGTTATGGAAAATACAAAGTGCTTATTCCTAAAGACAATGAGCCACAACAGTCTCTCCCAATTTAATATTTCCCTAAACTTTTGGAACACAATTTGCATACCTGCCCCTACACCCCAAGTCCAACGTACACAGAAGAATTGGAAATGGGAATTTGTCTTGAAGCCCTTAGTGAATTAATTTGTTTCCTTCATACCTTTTGTTAAACATGAACCAGTTTAGCCTTTTTTATAAGGCTGCTTTTAAATACTGTCTGAAGGTAGCGAGGAAATGGTATATAGGTAGTCCTTTACTTATAAGCACGATTTCCATTATTAAGGTAGCTGCTGAGTCAAATCCAAATAATCAAATCACTGCACTTATTAAGTGAATCAGGTGGTCATTAAGCAAATCCAGCTTCCCCCATTGATTCTGCTTGTTGGAAGTCAGCTGGGAAAGTTGCAAACAGCAATCAAGTCATCTGGGACCCACAAATATCATAAATGCACTCAAATTCTGATCACACGACTGTGGGGATGTTGTGACTGTTGTGTGAGCAAAGATTGTTAAGTCAGTTTTTTCAGTGCCATTGTAACTTCAAATAGTCACTAATCAAATGGTTGTGAGTCTAGAACTATCTGTATTATTCTGGAACTCCTCACCTAAGCTCACCATCAAGAAACCAGTCTTCCACCCCAGCTCTTGAGAGCCTAAGAGCTTGAAGTATAAACCAAAGTGGCACAGAACACAAAAGTAAGCTAAATACTCAAAGAACAGCTTGGCATCATCCTGCCTTATCAGTTATATCAGCCAAGTCACTGAAATCCTGCATGTAGCTTTATTATAAATATAGGATGTCACCATTTCTCCAACCTTATCTAATAATTATTACTTTCAGCACAATATTGCTGTGCTCATGCTTTTAATCACTGTCAAAGGAGATTATGGTATCAACAGAAGTAGATCAGCAAAAAATTTACTGGACGATATATTATATTCAGATAACAAACTTAATCAAAATGTGCTTACTACCATCTGCCAACTTTCTTCCTATGTACATTAAATATTTGCTGGGCTATCTGAAGCACTCTAATCTGACATGCCATGTTGTTTCTGATATAACGGTTCCTGGTAACTGGAGCAAGGTAGGGAAAGAAACCACAAATTTAAATCAATTATGCCCGGGAACCTCCAATCCTTCCTAAAGATTTTGTTCCTCCATTCTTATCAATCCACTACACTTCCACCTCATTTCCAGAAATACCAATTTCTTATTGGGTTTTGACATGATCCTTCTTTTGCTGTGGAGGTGAAGGGGAACATGAAAGGTCTTGACATCTGCCAAAAAGAAAACAGACAAAGTAATGGTATAAATTAAACTTTTCTGGAAAGTCAGGCAGAAGAGAACTGAAACCTTGGTCTTGGCCTCAATTGCTTTAAAGGAACTGGCTTCTCCTCTTCCTCGTCTTCTTCTGAGCTAAAGGAAAGATTCTTACAACGCTCTTTGATTTCATCAGGAAGCTTCATAGAATTTTGTAACAATTTTAGGCTGTTCTCAACCTGCAGATAAGAAAGGGGACAGAATTTATTAGGAATTAATCACTCAATATGTAGGAGTCAGTGACATTAGTATATCTAGATAAATGAAAGTGGGATGCTATGTTTCTTTGCTTCTCTTCAACAAAGGGTATTAATGACTAAGGAGCAAACGTGACAATAATTGAAGGTAACCAAGGTAAGTTTGAGGGCAACAATAATTAAGAGTGCACTATAAAGAATTACAATGTCCTTCTCTTCACAAAACATCCAGAAGTCTTTAAAAATAGTTTGGATAATCAGCACTTTTTTAAAAAAAAAAAGGAAGAAAAAAGAATGCACCCATGAACACTAAACCACTTTTTGTGTTATCTGGACATTATGTTTCCAACAGAACCCAAGACAGAAAATATCTGTAGTTACTACATCTCTGCTGGCTAATATCCAGCTCATGATTCACTAACATTCTTTTTGCATACAGTATATATCCAGATTAAATTAGATCTATAGATAATTCTCGACACAATCAAACACCAAAGTTACAATGGCTTGAAAAGAATGCTTTAGAGGCCTAAAGTACTTCTAGCTGTTGTAAAATGTTGTACACATGCAAACCCCACAATCATATGATCTGGATAATCGGCAACTTATTTGCACTTAAAATTGGTTGCTGAGTTACCCACAATATGTGATTGCCATTTGAAATAATCTGTTGGCTTTCCCAGAAACTCAATGGGGAAGATGACAGGGAAGTTTGGAAGCTGCTGCCACTGAGCTGAGATTCTCTCTGGACTGGCAGTTCATTCAGAATGACAGATCTACTTGTCAAGAGGGAATCTCAGACAGGAGGGAATCCCACCTCTGTGTAGACCTGATATTTCCCCCTCTCAAAAAACATTCTTTTGTGGTGAAAGACCTAACTGCTGAGGGGTAGAGAAACTCCCACAACCAGCTGTAGAAATGAAGCTATTTCTACAGTCTGCTGCAGAAATTTCCTTCTGTGCATCAAGGTGAAGGGAAATCTTTCACTGGATTACAGAAAAGCTTGGATCACTAAGAACCGAACTCTTCCTCCACCCCATCAGAATTTCCTTTGCAGGTAGTTCTTTTACTCCATCTGCTTAACAGCCTATGTCGATGCTTAAGAACTGCAACAGGATTGTTGAGTGATCACAGGGGCATCTCACTTAACTGCTTTGCTCAACGACCAAGACTCTAGTCCCAACTGTGGTTATTAGTCAAATTTCATCAGCTTTCTTAATCTGCAGATGTTGTGTTTCTGACAATTCTCTAATAAGGCAGCAGCTGCTAGAAAAACGTAGCTTATCTTGAATACTCAGTAATTAAAGTAATGGAAAGCAGGAGTTCTTGTCCTGACTCAGACACAAGGCTAGACTGGTGACCTTGGGCTAGTAGTTACATCCTCTCAGCTATAGTAACCAAACTACTGAAAATGTTTCCAAGACAACTGCAGGAACTAATCCAGGCAGCCACCTGGAATCAATATTGATGGAAATCTCGTGGCTCTAGAGTAGACAGCAGAGGAGGGAGAAAAACCCTCAGAAGGCAGCAGTGGTAAATAATTTATATAGTGTTGCCAAGAACATACATGGATGTATGGTCTCACATGATGCAAGTTACATGTAATTTGGATTCTCCTGTCAGTTTTGCAGAGAGTAAACAAAAACTTGGCAAAGAATAATTGCAACACTCTTTTCCTCAGTAATATAAGGCAGGTGTCTGCAACTTTACGACTTGTGGACTTCAACTCCCAGAATTCCACAGCCAGCACATGCAGGCTGAGGAATTCTGGGAGATGAAGTCCACAAGTTGTAAAGTTTCCAAGATTGCAGACCCATGGTATAAGGCAGTGTTTCTCAACCTTAGCAACTTGAAGATGTCTGGACTTCAACTCCCAGAATTCCCCAGCCAGCGAATGCTGGCTGGGGAATTCTGGGAGTTGAAGTCCAGACACCTTCAAGTTGCCAAGGTTGAGAAACACTGGTATAAGGGACAGCATAAAAACTGAGGAAAACTGGAAAACACCCAATACACGGGGGCTGTACAATAGTCATTAAATTAAGCTCTCTCTTGTCCCTGCAAGCAACACCAATATGTTTGCAAGCTAAAGAAATCTTTTCATTGACTTATTTAATGAGATCAGGCACATTTCTTCCATACAGAACAAGCAGCAGCAGAGGCTAACAATCTCATTTTTAGATACAATCAAAATACCATCAAAATTTTCTTCCAAACCACCATTAGTTGGTAACTGCTGCTTTAAATCACTGCACCAAACTGGCTCTCAGCCACATTATACAGATTTATATTAATGACAATACATATAATACAGTATAAAAAAAATAGATACAGCAGCAGCATACAATAATTTAACTGGAAACGTACTTGCAATAAAGTTATTGAGGATATGAGGGCACACACACAAAAACCCCACCCGAGATCCCCAAATTAGGGAAAGTCTGTTCTTTGAATAATAATTACATTGGTACCTTCATTACCTCCCAGCAGCCCTTGTTACCCAGCCGTTCCTAATCACATGCTTTGCAATTAAATGTTTCAGGCTTCACCTGGCAATTTTATATCTCCCTGAGAAACTGGGTTTGAGACGGAGATAATTTAGGTTTAGGTTTAGGCAGCCTTCAATTTACAACCACATCTGAGCCCAGCGTTTCTGTGAGAAATTTGTTGAGCGCGTGAGGTCAAGTGAGACAGAAGAAACTAACGGAACGAGCGAACTAACGGAACGGGGGAGGGAAGGGGGAAAGAGACCACGTCGCGCACCCCGTAAAAGTCACCCCGCCAAGCACATACCTGGGTCGAATAGACCGGGATGGCGACGCTCTCGGTGAGGATGCGGCGCCGCTTTGGTAAGGGCTTCTTGGGGGCCCCCTCTGGCTCCGAGTCGCTGCTTAGAGTCACCTGTTGGGGAGGAGGGGCGAGAAACGCCGAAGGGCCATCACCCGCAAGCCGAGGTTCCCTTCCGCTTCCCTCCATTCCCTCCGTCCCTTCCCGCCCGGCTCCTGTTTACCGGCTCCTCCATGCCTGGACCAGACCCGTTCCTATTGGTTTCGCTCTTCGCGTCGTTCTTCCTCCTAGGCTCCGATTGGGCTCCACCCGAAGCTCTTTGTTTCTTCACTCGGCCGAGAAATTATCCACGGAGTTTCTCAGGCGTCCAAGTTACGGCTGGTCCCCAAAGGCGTTTCTTCTCCTCCTCCTTCCCTTTCGCTTCTCCTGCAGAGCTGGAGAAGCTCTTGGGAAAAAAAGCACTTTCGGCTCCTCCCAGGAAAGTTTGGGCGAGCTGGCGTGAGCGATAGGAGCGCTGCGTTCCCGCCCACAGCGCTGAGCAGTCTGGGGACGGCAGCGGGTTTGTTTTGCTTTAAAGGACTACTCCTATAATCCGTTTTCCGGGGCGGCTCGAGGGGAGGAATGTGGGATTGCCCGCTCTCTTGGGGGACGCCTCTTTTTTCCCCGACGCAGTGAACCTCTAGAATAGGCAAATACGTATTTTGCACCATCTTAAACCTTGCAGTGGATCGTCCATTTTGAAGGTTTAATTGCTACTTGGATTTAGCCACATGCCACCTCTAGGGAGTCCTTAACCAGCCAGGATGGGCATAGGTGCTGAACTCACAGCTGCAAAGGGCCCTATCCATTTCCTCAAGTTTAATTCCCAGATAACAAGGCTCAGGTGTGTCTCCCTCCAAGGAGTCTGCCTAGCCAGAGTCCAGCTTCCAGCAAAATCTAGTGATTTTTATCTGACACATGCCGAGAATATTCTTCACACAATGACAAGATCCGCCTTACCCAGGAGAAATCTGATTACCTGAAATAGCTCCCTCCCCCAGTTGGCTACCTGTAGATAAATAAGATCAATGAAGTCATTATGCTTCACCGGTCTTATCCCCAGATAAACAATAATACAGATTGAGCTGTCCTTGAATATTGGTAGCTCCAGTTGGTTTGTTTGAGCTCCGAGCTTGGCAATTTGGTTGCAAATGTTTCATCCCCATTCGTAGAGACATTTTCAGTGCGCTTTGTTGAAAGAACTGTCCTTCTGGGTTTGGCTCCAAGTGGGGAAAAAGACACTGGAGACATGAAGGCTGCTTGGAAAGATGGTTTATTGGTGGACAGGACCACATTGGCTTGAGCTCCTGAACAGAAAAGGGGGTTACATGCTTCAATGGTGGTGGAGAAAAAGAGAAGGCTGGACTGAGATGCTGAGTCCCTGGCCTTTGATCTTGAGCTGGTATTCTGATTGGTTGTCAGACTCCCATGGGGCCATGCAGGGGCAACTCTCAAAGCTGTGTTTTGAATCCAGGTTTGGTTGAGTTCTCAGATGCCATGTGGTTAGTTGGGTAAAGGGCCAATGTTATCATGCCTTAATCCCATCCCCCTGGAGCTGAAGGGGAGAACCCTTTATTATATGAAGTAGGCTAGCTTGGCCTTCTTAATGGCCCATTGACAAAGTGGGGATGGGCAGGAAGCTACAGGGAGCTATTCTGTCTTTTAAAATTTGTTTCTTCCTTTTCACATCCAGAGAAATATTCTGCCTTTTCAATATTTCCTAGGATATTTCATTTTTCTGGGAGAGGGCTGGGTGATAACTTCCTATACTTTGGATTATGCTTGTCTGGAAGAGCACTGTCCTTTTAAAAAACTGGCTCTTTTAATGGCCAGTGCACAATCCAAAGTGCACTGAAGATGTTTCCTTGAATAGGGATGAAACATTTGCAACCAAATTGCCAAGATCGGATCTCAAACCAACATAACTAATACACCTGTGTGTGGTCAGCCCTGCACTTTATCTTCCTCAAACAGTGCTGAGGTGTTAGAATGATAGAGGTGCCTGCTATATTTTATCTGATTATCTGTTGGAAGTTAAAAGACTCTGATTTGCTCCACACTTCTTTTAGCAATCTTCTGATCTGCCGGATCAACAGTCAATCCTAGCATTTAAGATTAGGATCCCACATCAAAGAACAGGAATTCCCTCAGGGAAAGGAAAACACAAGGTGAAGGAAGGGAGCTACATACCTGAGGGCAATCTTTCCAGATTTCATGCACTTCAGAATCAAGGCAGGAGCATCCCAAACAGCATAGGAAGGGCTCATTAAACAAACCACACCCCTGAATTCACACCAAGAGTTAGGGTTATGGAAGAATATGTCTGATCTAGGCTGGGTTGTAGCTCAAAATGTCTGTGGATGGAATTGTTCATGGAGTATCAGGCTTGGATGAATTCATCAGTGTGGCATGGCGGGTAGTAGTGTGGCTGGTGATTTTTGTGTTGCTACAAATGGTGCTGTTTGGTGTCGGTGTAGGTAGAAATTAGGAATTTGGGATTGTGACATTTGATTGCCAGATGGTCTTCGTTTATCCTGTGTTTTAATCGACATGTTTTTCCCCCGTAGAATTGGTTGCGATGGTTAAAGCTGATTTTGTAATTACATTGTTTTTTTCATCCTTCTGTATCTTGTTTTTGGTTCTGGATAATTCCTGATGAAGTGTCGCTGTGGGTTTGTGGGGTATTGCTATTCCTAGATGTTGGAGAATTCGGGCTGTATTTCTGGCACCCCTTTTGTGTATGGTAGTGTTAGTTTTTGCGTGGTGATTGGCTGTGTACTGTGGTGTGGTTGGGGTGCTGTATGTTGGAGTGTAAAGTTTTTTGGGATAGCCATTATGGAGAAAGACAGAGGGATGCGCATGTTGGCTCAGTGGCTAAGATACTAAGCTTGTCTATCGGAAAGGTCGGCAGTTTGGCAGTTCAAATCCCTAGTGCCACCTAATGGAGTGAGCTCCCATTACTTGTCCCAGCTTCTGTCAACCTGTTCGAAAGCACATAAAAATGCAAGTAGAAAAATAGGAACCTTTGGTGGGAAGGTAACAGCATTCCATGTGCCTTCGGGGCATTTAGTCATGCCGGCCACATGACCATGGAAAGGTCTTCGGACAGTGCCTCTTTGGCTTTGAAACAGAGATGAGCACACACACACCCTTTAAAGTCAGGAATAATTAGCACATATGTGTGAGGGGAACCTTGACCCTTACCTAGGGAGAAAGACATCAAGAACCTGTTTATCTTCTGCTTTTCTTAGTGTTTTGATACTACACAACACTTCTGAAGAGGGTTTGGACATAGCTTCTTTTGTGTGCAGTGGTTGCTTGCGAAGCTGAAAATCGGATTTGTGTGCGTGGGTGATAGACGCAGGTTTCCTGTTCTCCATTGCTTAGTCTCCTTATGTTGATGTTGAGGAATGGGAGTCTGTAGTCCGTTTCCTCTTTGCATGTGAATTTGATCCCAAGGAATATGTTATGGAATAGGTGGTGTGTTTCTTCAATTTGGGACAATTTGATGATGACGAAGGTGTCATTGACATAGCGTGGCCAGAATTTTGGGTGGGTTGTGGGTGGAGCAATACAAAAATCATTGGCCATGCTATCACCTATCATGTGTGAGTTCATCAAAACCTGGCATTCCACAAGCAATTCCATTTTCCATCCACACATAGATGTACAACCAGCCTACAAACTCCTCAGAATCCAAATCAACCACACAACCAACCAGACAGCACTGACCGTGAACCAACCCCGCAAGCCCCCCCACCAGCAATTCACCTCCAAATGACCATGACCTGATGCAACCTCCCCATCACAAGACTCTCACTGATGACTCACACCTGACCCATCACAAGACCCTCATTTAATACACTCGCACATGAAGCCCTTATAAACAGGAGAACACTGACACTCACAATCCCCTAAACTCCGCTGGAGATGTTACCTAGCCTGGTAACGAAACGTTCAGAAACCAACGCACAAGCTCGGAGAATTCAATCTTCAACCCTCATTTTCGTGTTGTTGTCTTTTCAGTTCTTCTTCTTCTACCCTACTGTCTGCAGTACTCCCACGGCCACTATCCAGACTTCTGTGTCTATGTTATCCACAATTGTTAAGTCTGGTTTGTTATGTAGCAAGTGCCTTTCTCTTTGAATTCTAAAGTCCTAGAGTACATTAACTTCTTCATTTTCTATTATTCTCTCTACTTTATGATCCCACCAGTTCTTGCTTGCAGGCAGATGTTTTTTTCTTGCAGCTATTCCAATGCACCATTATTGCTACTTTTTCAAGCTGTTGCTTGTAGCCAGTGTGGGCAATCTTCTTGCATCAGTTAACCAGGGCCCCCGCTGTTTCTTCAACTTTTTTGTTCAGCTCTTTCATCTTTTATCCAAGTTCCAGCTTCATTTGTTTCTTCTACTTTCCCGCTCTTAGCTATTGCCAAGTCTTGTTCTTATCTGCTTTGTTTGCTTTAAAAAAAAAAGTCTGGTCCTGTAATACTTTATCTTCCCATGTCTTCTTTTCTGTTCATTATTTAGTCTTTCTTGTAGGCCAGCTTGCTCTCTCCAGTACTTAGTAACTCTTCCTGGTATATCAGTTTTTGTGCATCTTCTTCACTGTCCTTCAGATATTTTTCCAATGCCCTTTTTTCTTAGTCAATCATCTGATGTAGTTCCAACATTCCACATCCACCTATTTTCTTGGTAAATAGAATCTGTTAAACATCGCTGCTAAGATGAAGGGTGTGATTCAATATTTTTCTAGTCTTCTTATCCAGGGTTTTTAATTTTGCTTGCGTCTACTATCCCAGCTGTGTATCTAATAACTGGAATTACCCAGGTTCTAACGGACTTGATGGTATATCCTCCATTGAGTTTGGACTTTAAAATCTTCACTCTCTTGATGTTTTCATTTCTGTTCTTTTTCTTGAGTTCATTCTGCTTTGAAGTTTGCCCAGATATTTGTAGGAATCGTCTTCCTCCAGACTCTTGGTATTATTTTCATAGGGAATTTTGAGTTTTCATTTTTTTTTCCACCTTGTTTGATGGTGACCGTGGCATATTTGTCCAGTCCAAACTCTGTTGCAGTATTTTGGCTGTATAAACAGACAATGTTGAGCAGTGATTCTATTTCAAATGGTGCTTTTCCATATAGCTTCAGATCAACCATAACAATCATAACAGATAGTCTTTGATGTGCAGCCACAAATAAGACCAGAATTTCTGTTGTTACACAAGGTGGTTATTAAGTGAGCCTTGGCCAACTTTACAACATTTTCCATCATGATTAAGCAAATCACTGCAGATGTTAAGTGAATTATATGATCATTAAATGAATCCAGTTTCTCACATTGACTTTGCTTACTGGAAGCTGGCTGGGAAGATCACAACCGATGACCCCATGACCCCAGGTGTCGCAACTGTTGTGAATACAGGTAGTCCTCAATTT